TGTTGTCCCTCTCCATGCACACCCAATGTAATTTGTCTTTGTCTAAACATGCGTATCAGTGAAAATATTTCTGAAACTTTAGCTTCTCCATGAAATAAGAATCTTCTCTTCTTTCCTTCTGTTGTGTTCAAGTGATGTGTGGTAGAGATGTTTTCAGATTTCTTCTTCCTGCGGACCCTGTCTCAAAACAGAGGCATCCCCTCTTCAGCCTGCAGACACACGACACTGAGCCAGCCCACACATGGAAAATCTGTATTGGTTCGAAAGGCACACACTTTTCTGTATTTATATCGATAAATGTTCTGTCTCAGGTTTAAAAACTTGGAAGATTTTATCTTTAACTTTCTCCCTACCATTCTAGGTCCTTTTTGTTTCTCTCCAGGACCCTACTTGTGCTTTTTGGAGTTATCTTGCCTATGTTGCCAGCTCTCTCAACCCATTTGTGCAATGCTTCCTTGTCACTTGGCTTCCTGCTGCTCTAGACAGACGTCCCATTGCCGCAGACCACCAGCCCTGTATGATTTTTTGATGTTGATGGTTTCCATTTCCTTTCCTTTTCCATTACAATAGCAATCCAAGCAGAGATAGGAAAGCAGTCTGTGGATTTATAGCTGTTCCTGCAGGCTTAATGTTTTTTATTTGTCTTAAAGATCTTGGCAGTCTATAAAACTGGGGAGCAGAACAAGTCCACATCACTAGTGAGTGCTGCGTGAACCACTATTTGGGGTCCACTGCACTGAATTGAAAACGTTTTTACATTAGGTCATTCAAACATACTCCGAATCTGCAGGACTGATCTTTTGCTGTACCAGTTTTAGTGTTGCAGGCTTTGAGCTGCAGATATGTATTGCTTCGTTTTCTCTTTGAAACCAATGGAGTAAAGAGGTAGTGGATGATCAAAACCCTCCTTTGCTGAGACTTGTGACAAGTGAGTAATTCTCCCTGCTGTTCAAAATCGTGTAGAATAAGGACTTATAATGGAATTGTTGACCCATCTTTAGCTTTGGCATTTCAAATGAAATTCTGAATGTCAAATCACTGAATACATTACTGAGAATAAATGCTTGCCGAGCCGCTAGTGACAAGTGGTTAAAGGCTGTAAAAGGGAGCAACAGAAATTAAAAGAAATGAAATGCAATGAAAAAGCATCACAGAGGTTGTTACTGGTGAAGTGAATAAAAATAATAGCGAGCATCTCCACTCATTTGGCTGGCAGCAGCACAATAATGTTGCCAGTTCGTTTTTTGAAAATAGAAATAGGTCCGCAGTGTAGCTGGAAGTCATAATTATTTTAATGGACAGAAGGTAACTACAGAACATATGTTGCCAACAAGGTTTGACTGATTCCACCTTAAAAAGAAGGAAACAAAAGAGAAGGACTCCAGTTGTAACACTGACTGAAAATGGCAGATTTTATTCTCTGCAGTGCTAGTAAGCCCAACCTTATGTCTGGATTCATGGGGGAAAAGATCTGGTCTCTTATATACAAAGGGAGTTCTTTTCAGTGTTATGCAGTGTCACAAAATACCTAACCTCAGCCAAATGTAGGACTGTATCTTTCATCAGAATCACCTCAGATTTCAGGTAAGTAGTAGACAGACAAGATTATCTTGGCGAAAGTGTGCAAATAAGTTATTTAGAAATATCCCAACAGACATTTTAATGTTATCTATGTAACGCTTCATTGCTGGACTGAGATAGTCTCAGAAGGAAGCAGGGTGGTTTTGCCAAAGGTTCTGATTTTAGCCAAATACATTGTTGTTTGTCTTTTGGCTGGTTGGAGTATTTTTTGGTTTCTCAGGAAGCTACTATCTTTTGGCATTGTGCTGTTTCAGGTCTCAGGCCACAACGTTCACCTAGAAGATGGTTGGCCCATATATACTGTGTATCAACTGCATTCTTTAAAGCATGTGCAGACATTCAAGCAAATTTTGTGGAGTCGGTTCTGACAGCTTTTGTATCATCTGCACTGTTGCTGAAGGGAAGATTTATTTATTGACTTGATTTTTAACAGATGAACTGAAGCTTATACAGGGTTGTATGGACCAAAATTTTGTATTATATGGAAGTTACTCACACAGAGGCACTGTTGGAAGACTCATTTATATCCATCCACTGCATTTTATACACATACATGTGTACGCGTACACACACATGCATGCCAGCAAATAAAACTGCGTGTTATACTATACCAACCTGAGTATTTTCTCCAGGCTGTATATGAAAATTAATTTTACACCATCCAGGCATGACATCATTGTAAAAGACTTGAGGGATGAACCAAGTGGGAAGAACATTTCTCTTTGCTTGTTCTGAGTACAACAGCAGTGAGAATGAGCAGATTGATGTTGTATTCCCTCCACGTGTGATGAAATTGTGATCCCTTCACTATCCTTACCTACATGCACATCTTTTGCAACACTTTCGTGCGTTTTTTGGATGGATGTGTTCTGCTGGTCTGTTTTCCTTCATCCTGATTGCTGTTAGAAGGGAAAGCAATGTCTGAAATTCAGGATCATATGCCCACCAGCTGTGGGCCCTTAAATAGAACAGCAGTGGACTAGCATTATGGCTGTGGAGAGCTATATGGTGGGGCTTTTGTGGGAACACAACCTGGCAGAGCTGTGCTGTGGGAGTTCAGAAACACTGCAGCATTTTTTTTGTCCCTTATCATGTGGCCTCATTTTACAACAGCCCAAAGTGGGCTTTGTACCTCAGCTTTCTGCAACCCGTACTGCTTCCAGTTGTCTAGGTGGGGGCTTGCTGCTAAATGTGTCGGGGAGAGGGAATGTTGTTGTCTTCTTGTCCCTTTGTGTGCTGGCTGAGACATCTTCCTTGCTAAGCTACCCCTCACCTTCTTAAAAAAAAAAAAAAAAAAAAAAGGAAGAAGAGCAGCTTGCTAGCAGTTCACCAGAGGAGCCAGCTCAGCTGCAGTCAGGCAGGCAGTCAGCCAGAACTGAAGTAAAAGCAGCCTGAATATCACTGGCAACAACCCAGACTGCCTTCCTCAGTGTGGACTGCTCTCCCCTGAAATGTACATGCATGGCTCTGGATCTTTAAGGGCCAAAATCTGTGAATGTCCAGCGAGTACGAGGTCCAGCACAACATAACAATAGACTTGCAACATTTTTGCTCAGGTTTCATTCCCAGCAGGAGAGCTAGGGTTTCTTACCTTTGCAAGCGAAAACTGAGATGAGCTTTGTGTCCCAAGATTTGAAGCCTGTGTAGCCTTTAAAAGCTGTCCTTCCTCCAACAACAGCTGTTTTACATTTAATCCAGAAAAGCTGTGCAGTTGCTGTCTTCGGGTGTTCAGGAAACTTGCAACATGACTTCAGTACAGAATTAAGTATTTCTCAATTTGTCTATCCCCATGATTTTTATATCAATGTGTACTTCAGAGAGGTATCTTTAGACTTGGTGTAAAGCAAGATTTATTGTTTCGAGATTCTCTAATGAAGAGCTAAGTATGAACAAACATTTGTTTCAACCTAAAAGGGTTTCTACGTAGTGTAGGTACAGGGTGTTTTTAACTTCACTGCAGATGGAAATGGATGAAAACAAAAACAAAAACCTTGTGGTAAATATGGCACCTATTATCTCTTAAGTAAAGCAAGGAATAATGGGAAATTGACAGAGAACTGTAGTAAAGAACTGTAATGCAATATTTCATGAGAGGGAGAGATTTTTGAGATATCTTTGTAGACCTGCCGATTCTCCATCTCCTCCAAGACTGTGCTTGGAATTTGTGGGAAGATTGGCAATTATTTGAGGCACTTAAAAATCAATATAGCTTTAACTGAAGTAGAACCAAAAGAAAAGAGAAAAAAAACAAGCCTATCTTGATAGGCTTCCCATTTTTCACATGCATAATATATTTTAGGACATCATCATGACTCTCACAGCTTGTAGCGGGTGAAGCTTTTTTTTTCTTCCTGCAAAAATGTTGAACAGCGGTGCAATTTGATACAGAAAGTGATTTATTCCCCTGCTGATAACTGAGATCATCTAGCATTCCAGACAAGCACAGTTAATGGATGACTTATCCCTCGCCCAGCAGCTGATTACAGGACCTCAGGAGACGGCAGGCAGCTTTGAGTGAGGTTATAGAAACAACACAGCATTTTATTTTCCTTTTTAGTGTTATTGCAACTATATTCATCCCTGGAATGCTATGGCTGTATCAGTCTCAGCCCCCTGCAGCCCTGGCATGCATGTAGGCAGCACGGAGCCACGCTTGCTCTGAGACTTCAGTTCTCACTTTCTGCGATCTCTGTGTAAACATTTGTGGGGCAGACTAATGGGCAGTCATTTGTTTGATGCCTGTAGATAGGAGAAGTTCTGCCAAGTCTGATGATGGCTTGTTATTAAAAGACGTGCTAACTTACATGTTGGTTTTAAACCCCTCCAGCCCTGGAGGAATGTCGGTGCACTGAGGAATACACCTTAACATGAATTGAAAGATGCTACCTCCTGGCATCAGCCAGTGGAATTTTGCTCAGGTTGAATCCTACAAGTATCTGTTAAAAATATCTAAGACAATAACAGGTATTGCCATCAGCAGAGATAAATGAGGTCTGTACTTATTCTTTTTTCTTAGCAGATGTTTCTTCCCAAAGATGAAGACTCAGTGGCTGAGCAGCAAAGAGCAGCTTGCCCTGCTAGGGTATTGTAAAGAAGTAGCAGGGATTTTTTTAATAATTTAAAAAAAGACTTGTTTCAGAAGACACCGTTCCAGAAACAGTAATTCGGTTCATGTCGCTAGATATCTGGTTTTGTAGAGAAGCTGTCACATGATTCAATTTTCTTGTGTAACTTAGAGAATTAATTTATTTTCTGCATCTTCTGAACATTGCAATGTCCAGACCACGCTACGCATGTCCTTTCTATGAACTTTTAACTAAGACTCAGATGTGTTGATGAAGTATTGGGACAGTGTTTGATGTAAAAAAATACAGATTTTGTTCCAAATGTCTTTTTAATACTGCTCTTTCTCTTTCCAGTACTACCAGCTCAACTGCAAGCAGTTGTGATACGGAATTTACAAAGGAGGATGAGCAGCGGCTGAAGGATTACATCCAGCAGTTGAAAAATGACAGGGCAGCAGTGAAACTGACAATGCTGGAGCTGGAAAGCATCCACATTGATCCCCTTAGTTATGACGTTAAACCTCGTGGAGACAGCCAGAGGCTAGACCTGGAAAATGCAGTCTTGATGCAGGAGCTTATGGCAATGAAGGTATTTTGTTTATATCCAACAAGCTAACTGCACTGCTGACAACGCCCTGTGGTAGAAAACATGCTTGGTCACACACACGGGAGGCTTTGGTAGTGATCACTGGGTAATAAAGGGTGACTTTGTTGAAACAAATTATCAAATCCAGTAGTCAAAAAGTGACAGAAGGCAGTGCATTAACAGCGACGAGCTATGTGTGTTTTGAATTAGGCAAGGACTTCATCCGTGTCTCTAAACTTGGAATGCTCTCCTTGACAAACCAGATGCTCTTTCTGAGAGATACGGCAGCTGAGTTGCTTGAGGGTGACCAAAAGCATGGTACAGCACTTCCCAAGAGACAGTTCCTTACTTTACTTACAAGCTTGCAAATGTGCATCTTGAATATTTGTGAACTGAAGCAGAACAAATTCACCTCCTTTTAATATTGCCATGGGAGAAGGAATGGTCTGTCAGAAACTATCATCCGTAATGCTCTCCAGCAGTCAGTCACAAGTCCAGAGCTGTGCTAGGCACTGTGCTGCAGGGTGTAGCTCACTTTAGAGCCCAAGCAAAGGGTGCAAAGGGTGCAGTGTGTAATGACTTGTAGTAACAAAGGTTTTCAGAGAAAACTCTGGTCCCTCAGGCCTGGTTTATATGTTGAGGTCTGAAGATGTGATCTAGAAAAACTGACCTTTATTGACCAGGTATGGAGTTTATGTAATTTTAAATCTGGCTTTTGTGTTGACTTGAGGCAATACAAGTGTGTGTCTGCATTTAGAAATTGTCTGGGTTTGGGTCATTTTAAATAAGTTTAATTTCTGCACATTAGCAAGTCCTGTTTTAGTCAACTAATGGCAGATATGTCAGATGGTGGTATCATGTGGGACATCGCTCTGTAAACTTCTAAAGCTGTAGGTTGTTGTTCAGATGTGCTGCTGCTGGCTAACTAGTAGCTTGGTAATGATAATTACATTCTTAGGGGTGCAGCCTTTCCATGACGCCATTTGCAATAATGCATTCAGTATTTGCAGTTCAGAAAAAAAGATTACCTGCTACCAGTCAGAAGATTTAAAGTTTTGTTCGTTGGAATATAAAGTAGCCAACAGCAGTATATTCCCCATAATTAAAGCATGCAAGATGTACTGGAAGACATTTGTAGAAAATTAGATGTATATTTCAGATATCACACTTCCTTCTTCTCTTTTGCATCGAAGTCTTCCCTGAAATCTCTTGTACACCAGTCTTACTTCTATCTTTAAATTGCTTGGTAAAGGCAAACTGCAGAACTATTCCTTGTGATTAGTGCCCTTGCATTCCCTGACCTGGCAGGAGCGCCAATCAGCGTGTCGTAATTTCTGTCGCAGTTTTGAATGCTGGATATCCTTTTGTTCACTAAACGATCTTCTAACTTGTTTTTGACATAGGGTGTCCACTCATAACTTTTGGCTGGACCTAGCACATTGGGGTTTTGCTGCAGGAATTGTCACTAGAAGAAGAGGAAGGAATCTTTCTCATTGGTTGGTTTGTGTGCAGTGCGTGCTGGAATAGACACACAGAGAAACTGAAAGTACTGTTATTTATTATGGTTTGTTGTACTTTGCTGGAATTCACAACTGCAGGAAATCCCTAGGTTTCTGAAAGGGATGTGGTGTTTGTCGAAGCTTGGAATGGATTTGTTGGTAAGTGTTCTTCTGCCACAGAAATTGAAAAGTCCTGCCTTTCTTCCATGCGTAAAACCTGACAAAGGCACATGTGTGCTTTGATGCCAAGAGAATGTGCTACCTTATTAGCATCTATGATTGTTGCTCTGGTCTGCATTACTCTTTGCTGATCTGTTCAGCAAGCTATAACATAGCTGAACGTAAGGGCAGGACTCATGGATGTCTTGGCTTTCTGAGTGTATTGTACGTATTTGTTATTTGGAACATGTACCTCATACAGAGCAGCGTATGCATCTGCCTTCTTCTGAGACAACTGGAGAATTTAAATTTCTTTATGGTGTTTTGTTTAACTTGAAACAGATGTGCTGCAGAGGACTTCATCTTGTAGCAGGTCTTAATTTGTTCCTTCCCTTCCTCATTCTTAGCAAGGATGATACAGCTTGATTGAGCTACTCGAGGATTTCCTGCATTGCTGTGTCTTACAACGTGCTGCTATCTTCCTTCAACTTCCATCTTATGTTGGAATCTCTGCTGCATCTTCTGGCACCTTTCATTTATGACTCCTAGTAAAAACTAATCAGCACATCAGTCATACTGCTTCTTGCATCTATGTTACGCTGATAATGTTCTGAAAATGCCTTTACACCATTAGTTCTACATTATTGATGAAAACGATCCATAAAAAGATGGTTTGGGGGTGGTTTCTTTTTTTGCCCTGTTCATTTTTTTATTACCGATCCAGAGTGTAAGACATAATATCTGCCAGTATTTCTGTAAAATCCAATTCTTTGCTTCAAGCAATAATTAACCATGTTTCCAAATATAGTCTCGTCTGCGGTTTGTCATCATTCAGTGGTCTTGCTTTGAGGTCAGTTGTCATGCCCCAGTTAGCAAGGAGATTACTTCTCATGGGTGTAAATAATTCTTGATTTACAGACCTTCTGCATTTCAAAGGACTTAATCAAGATAAGAAGTCTCAGCTTTCTACACTGGTAATTTTTCTTCTTTTGTGTATAGGTGGTAATATTTTCACAATGTGCTTTGAGACTATAGTCCCTTTGCAGAAGATGTTAAGAAACCCATTGTTCACCTTTGTTACAACATTTCTTGCTCTTATAGACGTAGAGCATGGCATTTATCTGCTCTGGTACTTGTTTTATTTCTGAAAGTTGGTGTATTCCACCTTGTGTACTGTGATCCTCCTGGAGTCCCTTTTCATGACTATTAGAATTTTTTGTCACATAGGAGTCCTTGCTGTTTTGTTTTTCTAACATGACCACATCCAACACAAATTTTAATTTTGAGGGTGCTGTAGTGTTTCTGATTATATTGAGTCAGGAGTGTTTGATTTTCATTCCAATTTTCACCAAATTCAGAATTACAGTATGACTGCAAGTACAAAATATTCCTCGATATTCAGTTAAATTAGTCCTGAAATGACTGCTAGATGTGGTGCTTAAAGCTTGTGAATTTGCATGGGTTGTGTAAGTCTTCTGCAATCAGATGGAAGAATGACCACTTGCTACATCCTCCTTCAGGGTTTTGTTTTGTAAATGCCACTTGTGCTTTAGGCCTACCTGTGAAGAAGCAGATAAATTAAACTGCAAAATGTTTCACCAGCATCCTGTAATTAACAAAAAAGGGGATAGTAAATATGCAAAGGTGATGTTGTCATTGAAATTAAATTTAGACAATATCTTTCAAAAACATATTTTCATGGAGAAAATTACTGCATATGTGAAGACTAATTAACTCTCTAAGTAAACCTGAGCTACTTAAATTTTCCCACATAAAACGTTACTATTGCAACCCTGCCTCTCAGATCTTATGTGTCCGTACCAGAATACTCAACTGTAGTTTTAATTTTCAACTTCCATCTTTCCATTCCTTCCTATCCTTTCCCTGGGAGCCTCTGTAAGACACTGGCTGACAGTTCTTACACTTTCTTCCTGCTTTGTCTTGGCTTCTCTACTTCAAAGTCATATCATCTTGACATGAGAAAACTAACACATGGGAGGCACTTTTGGAGTCCATGGGAATGTCTTCTCGGACAGGATGCAAACTTGTGAATTCATATACGGTGATCTAAGCTTATGGTCTTTGTAAACAAAGGCGTTAACCATCTATGCTCAAACCGATTTTGAGCTAGGGTGTGTAGTACAAACAAACTTACAGTCTTTAAATTAAAACTTCTAAGTGATGGGAAAAATCAGTTCCACAGATTTGTTGTTGTAATGGTTAAACTCACCTTTTTCTTTTAGGAAATAAATTTTTCCCTTATTTCTAGGCTGAATTTGCCTAGCTTCAACTTCCAGCCTGCAAGGATCTTGTCATGACCCTCCCACATAGATAGCCCTCTGTCAAGAGTATCTTCTCTTCACATAAGTGCCAAAATACTCTGCTCAAATTACTTCTCAGCCTTCACTAAGCGGGCTAAGTAGATTAATGGCTTTAGAAATTGAGGCTTCGGGAGCTAAATGCATACACTTAAGTATATCAGACCATCCAGTTCAACTCCTATAACTAAATTTCGCCATCATTATTTATCAGTATTATTTACATTTTTACTCTTGGCAAAGGAAATTAATGCTAAGTTTGCCTAACAACTAAATTTATGTAAACCACATTGAATGAAAATGGTGGTGCTTCTAACCTTCAGTTCACAAACAAGTAGATGAATAAATGAATTATTTTAAAGCTCATACAAACCTTTCCAAGCCTGAGGGTTTTTAGGATATGGATTTTATTTTTGCATGGTTGGTGGTTCTGAATAAGCCAGTGATTACCTGTGATTACTATATGCTGGTTGTAACGGTGCTACACCTGTGTGCACTTCTTACACCTAATCCAGACGGCAAATTTTTGGTAGGAATGTAGACTCTCTTCTACAGAAAAAGTCAGTCTAAGTGTGTGCCAAGACTCGTGTTTATATAATATTTGTTAATAATGGATATAATACAAAGAGCATTATTTTTGAAGGATAAGGTGAGATACCTCTGATATTTTTGCGACTAGAATATGGGGTTTTTTTGTTTTAAAAAGTAGTTTTAAAATAGTGATTTGTTCCTAGGCTGGCCACATAAGAAGAAACTTCTGTCTTTCAGAGAAGTTTACACAGTGAACAAGTCTATAACTGAACTGTAATACAGAAAATGGCTGCCAGAACTCAGTATTCACCTGTGAGGTGACCTAGGGCATGGCAAGCTCAACAGTGAGAATGTGATTCTGGGTTGGGTTTCTTTTTGGTTTGGTGGTATTTTATTTGTTTGGTGATGTTTTTGCACACGTAATTTATCTTTTAGGTCTATCTCTTTAAATGTTTTGTGGATGTTGGGTTTTCCTGCGTTCAGAAAATCACTAGACATTTTGTGGAAGAAACTTTTCTGAAGTGTTGTTAAACACAAAGAGCCTTCTGGTTCAGGATACCCATCAGCTGCTTTTCATGGGAGGCTGGGAGCAAGTGCTGAAAGAAGGGTCACTGCATTCATGCCTTGTTCTTACTCTTCTGCCCAACCACTGTCAGAGCAGATGTTAAAGCAGAGGTCTGTCCCCAAATAGTAGTTACTGTGTTAAAATAATTGACAGCTGTGTCATAAAACCGGAGTGGTAGACGAATTATACACCAGAACTAGCTCTCGCAATTGAGCTTCTTTCTATGAAGTGTCCATCTTCTGTGGATCACATTTATGGAAGAATATCAGTGAGTGCAATTTCATGAACCTCCAGTTGTGTGTAGTTGGGATTCTGGCCAACTGGAGGAGGGAAATTAAAAATGGATATCTGATGGTGCCATACCCAGTTGCCCTTTTTGGCTAACTCGTTCTACTACATTGGCTGATATTATGAGGCAGGAATATGTGATCTGTGTTTGCTGTCCTAGTCCCTCAAACCTATTCCACTGTGATGAGATAAACCAACTCTAATGTTTATCTATCAATAAGAAACTGGAATCTGGCATTTAGAGAGCTGTTTGACAAGAAAGTCAAACACTCCTGTTTTTAGGGTAATTGTCTCTGAAGGGCAAGGTAGAATCAAAGAAGTTTCAGCAGCTGTGGCAGCCCTCTTGGATCCCTGATACTCTAGTTTCAGTGCCTCATTAGCTGCTCTGTTGTCTCTGAGATGGCACAGCTAATCATACTCACTTAGTCTCTGGTCTTTTGGCAAATATACGATGTGATTATAAAAAACCTTCTGGATGCTGATAGCTTCCATGGAAAGAACACTTAACTAATAGGAATGAATGAAAACCTTCTTTAACCTCCTTTCTTTAGGTATGTAATCCCATGAAGCAGCATGCTGATAATGTTTCTTCAACAGGAGGAGATGGCAGAACTCAAGGCACAGCTTTACCTGCTAGAGAAGGAGAAGAAGGCATTGGAGTTGAAACTGAGCACTCGAGAGGCCCAGGAGCAGGCCTACCTCGTCCACATTGAGCACTTGAAGTCTGAAGTGGAAGAGCAAAAAGAGCAGAGAATGAGGTCTCTCAGCTCAACCAGCAGCGGAAGCAAAGACAAATTGGGCAAGGTCAGGAGCCAAACAAGTTTCCAAAATCAGCATAAACACCATTTATTGTACACCTCCCTTCCCTATAGCGGTCTCTAGCATGTTAATCGTTCTCCTCTTTTGTCTATATGTACATCTTTTCTCTCTTTGTCAGTTGTTAGGTGGCTTTTCCCATGCTGTGACTTAGGTGGACTTTGCAGAATTACTGTTAAGCCTTGGCTAAAATAAGGTTGTGATTTTGGGAAGGAGTACAACAAAGCCATTCTTGCCAAACACACAGGCCACTGTGGTTGAACATGTTATGTCTTGCCTGTTGCCGCTCACTGGAAACAGTGGAAGAGAGTCTAAGCAAAATGCCACCCTCCCCCTACTCCAAACACAAAATCTGAGAAAATAGAACTTATTTCTGTGAAGCAGTTAGAGCATTGTAATGACAGTCTCTTTTTCCAAGTCAGTTTCTAATGGTTTGAGAGTGAAGATTTTTTTTTTCCCCCCTTAGTATAAATCAAAACCAGATTTCTGTATTTACATTTATAATTTGCATGAAGAAATAGTGATACCTAGAAAAAATTTAATCCTGTTGTTTTAGTACTGTGTCCCCAGAAAACCTCAGTAATATGTTTAAAAATCCAGAGCTAGTGTATTACTGTGTCATTCTTTCTTGTTTCTGGCAAAGCATCATCAGAATTGCTTGATTCGGTACTTTTTTGTTTCAAGTGTGGTGTCAAAAGTAATATAAGGCACCAGCAGTTATGCACACTATAGCAGAATTCTGCAAATTAGTGAGCTGTGGTGGTTTAAGAAGCATTTGGATTTGTGAAGTGTTAATCCGCTAGTACATTCTTTGGTATGATATGTTACACTGCCATGTTGTGATATTGTGATGTTTATTTCACCTCCTTTTAAAAGTGGCTGTGAATTAAGAGGTTTTCAGAGTTTTTCCATTAAGATGGGAAGTAACTTCAGATTAGATGGCCTTTCCTCTTTTCTCAGGAATGCAGTGATGGCACTGCCACACCGTTAACACTAGCTGAGCTGAGACCGTACAACGAGAGTGAGCTGACTGCTGAACTGACAAACGCACTCAGGCGGTAAGCAACTTCCTTTACCAGACACATGGCGTGTTCTGTAGGTCCAGGGCAAGGTTTAGTTCTGAGCCTTCGCTCTTACCCTCAAGTGATTTTAAGAATGATCACAGATTTTTCCTGTGAGAAGGAAAAGGATCGAAGTTCTTCTAACCTTCCCCTCTCTTGTGCTGCTGTTCTTCAACTGATGAAAGTCCTCATGTGGTGCTCAGCTCCATTCTCCTCGAGGTTCTCTAAAATTCAGGTTAACTGTGTCCCTAAGAAATCCTCAAAATGTCAGGAACTTTCATATTCAGACAAGAATATGAGACACAAAACAGTGACATGACTTGCTTGAGGGCATGCAGAAAACTTCAGTGAAGACAGGATTTGAACTGTGATATTTGGTTAAGAAGGTTGGTCACAGATTAGAACTTGGGTAGGAGTTACAGGAGTGATTTTGATGACTCAGATGCTGCATTTGCCTCCTGAGTATGTAAGTAGAGCCACAGTTCAATTACGAATGACATTGTGCAAAGCATTAGCTTTCCAACGAGAGAGAAAATTGATGTCTTGACAAACTGCTTTTATCAACAGCCAGGTTTTAAGCCAAAGCTTTCAGTACGGTTATAGATTAACTAGATACGTGTTTGTGCAGCAGTTTTTACTGCACCAGCGATGTGGTAAACTTCATGGCAAAGATATTCACTGTTTTGATTGTTGTTTCAGTACTTGTTCGCCTTTTCTAAGACATTGCTGTCTTATGTCTAATCTGGTTATTGTATTCAGAACCTGCCCAAAATGCTGCTAAGAATTTTGCCTGGGAAGACTGTATTTTGCTTTTCTGTTGTTTGCACCCTATTTAATGGTGGAGTGTCCTCTCAAGCAGCTGCAGTGTTTCATTCCTGAAGTGCTTTTTTTATAGGTGCAAGTTGTGGTGTGCCTAGGGACACTTAAGCCTGAAAGGCATTATGTAAAAACGCAAGATTGTTAGCTCTGCAGAATCAATACATCTCATACCATTTGCTTAATAGTCTGGCAGTTGCTGAGTATTTAGTTTGCTTGATGCAGGAAACAAAATTCTGTGGTTAAAATAATCAAAACTGTAATTTGTGTGTGGGTGCATAAAATCCATCAACAAAGTCATTTGCATAAACATTGCATAGAGCCATTGGCCTCCCCCATCCCCCCCCCCCTCCAATCATGGTGTGAGCAGCTCCACTGGCATTTTCTGTCTTTTCTCAAGCTGCAGCTTCTTCCTGTTCTTATTTGCTTCTGGATTTTGAGATGATGCCAGCGACCTTAGTTAGCAGAGGCTTGAGTATAGTCGTGAAATGTGGTTTGCTGACAATACAGAGAAAAAAACTTTATCTACTGGTCCTTAAGTTGATTAGCATGGATTTCCAGCCAGGGGCCTAGCAAGTACAGTTTTTCAGGCAGAAATGGGGAAGAAAAATAATCGGATTAAACTGTACATAAATTTTGGAGTGAAGACTCTCTATGTAATGGAAATATGACTGTACCAAATGTGATTGCTACTGCCAGTGGGGCTGAAGGATGGTTCCTGCGAGTTGTGTGGACAGGGTATTTTTCTCCCTCATCAGTGTGCCAGCCAAATCAGGCTGAATGCTTAGTCTGCTTATCCTGAAGTCTTCTCTCTGAAAGTCTGTAGAAGGTCTGTCTAGCACATGGAGAAAGCTTACTGCAACCTGTTTAGCCACAGCTAATGCTAAAAAATACCATCAATTCCCAACTGCCACCCTGGATAAATGAAGCTTCAGATACCACAATGAAATTTTTACCATCTTGGATCTGCAAAGGAGTTTTAAAAACAATCAGAGTGCATTTTCCTGTCATGCAGAATGGTCTGAATAGACTGTGATACCTTTAGCGACAAAGTGGATTTAACTTTGTACTTAGCATGCGCAGATCCCTCAGTCCTCTTTCCATTTGTGTGGGAAAACAAGTACTGGCACTGTGTGTGAACCAGGAGAGAACCCCCTAGCACCCTCCTCATCCACCAAAGAAGTAAGACCAGAATTCAAAATAAAAAATATTTTGCCTGGTAACTGCATTTGCAGAGGGGCAGGAGAGAGATGTGAAACGAGTGAATGTCACACACTGAATCTGTGGCCTAGAGGCAATATTTAAATGTCAGTGTTCAGGAGTATTTCACTGCTGGTTGCAATTAGTGCACACATCCAGCAACTGGACCTGTCTGTAGTTACTCCAGGCAGTAGGCACTGGGGCAGGGGACAGCAGCTGCAAGGATAGGCACAAAAATCCATTTCCTTTTGCATCTTTCTGTTTGTCAGAGAATGTGATATCAGTCAACAGCTCTACTTGGTGCCCCCTCTCCTGTCTTCACAGAGATGAAAGCCCTGGCAGCTGCCACCTCTGCTGCTTTCCCATTCTGTCCTTCTGTTGCTGCAGAACTGTCAGGTTCTTCTCAAGTTAATTGAAATAGAGTGAAACCCAAATAAAACAGCAAGATGCAGTTGCAGTTTGGATTTTCATGTGGTTTGGAAGCATTTATTTGTTCATAGTCTACAAATGGCTTTGTGGAAGAACAGTCTCATCCACAGAGGTAGCCTGTCTTCTCCTTGCAGATGCAGATTTTCTCATAAATCTGGAGTCCAGCAGTGTGTTGTGAAGCTCCCCAAGTTGTCATTGGTAGTGCCCGTCAGCAGAAGTTCAAGGCAGGAGCAATTCTTCATTTATTGTTTCATAATGTATTTGTTCTAGTAGGACTTGGGGTTTTCCGTAGCAGTGTGCAGCATTAAGACCCATCTTATGGGCTTCCTACAGAAATTACTTTTATTTTCCATGACCGCTATGCTAACTAGTGGAAATGTAAATTATTTGCAAGTTCCTTATTGTAAAAGTGACATCTAGGTTACCAAATTTCTGGTATTGGAGGCTAAGACTGCTAATTTAGAGATATAGCCTGTTCCAGCCAGTCTTTAGCAGTCTTATTTTCCCCTCTCTCCTTTCTTGAAGGATGATGGAATGTTTCAATGGACATGAAGCCGCTTGAGTTTTTTCTTGAGTTTGACACATCCATAAATGAGCTTGCTGGCAGGAGATACTTTATTCTTGGGAAGGCAAAAATGTATTCCCAGCAGCCTCATGGCCTGGCACTGACGCCTCAGTGATTGTGCCAGTGTTATGAGAGAGGATCTGGTGGAATACCCCAAAATCAGGCATGTTGCACAGTCTAAGGAGATCTTCCTTGCTGGTGTGGTCTGCTTTGCTGGGGCAAGGGAAGGGAGCGCTGTAGGTGACTTGTATGAGTCTGTAACTTAGTAGGCACATACCAGCTTATAAATGTACTAGAGATGGCAGAAAGGAGGCAGTAAGAAGAACTCCAGATAGCAAATGTGCTTCATTTAGCAGGATGATAATAATGGTGATACAACTAATCTTTCCTTTTTTTTTTCTGCTAAGTTCTTTTATTCTGTGAAAAATGGGCAAGCTGGCATGACGGAAACTTCTCCCTCTCCCCAGGCTTTATGAGAAATGCTTTGATTGTTGAGAACCTCTGCAGTCTCTCCTTGTGTTTCTGGTTGCTGATAGCTTTTCTGTCTCCATAGGGTTGTATTTTGTGTATGTATTTAGAGAATCGATTATAAGCATTAAAGTATTTGGGCATGAAGGATCTGACAATACTAGGTAAGGGCCATGGCAGACAAAACACTTTATAACTAGACTGACTGTTCAGACCTCAGCTGGGTCATCAGTTGGCACAAAATTGTGATCCCTGATAGTTGTGCAGGGTTACATGAATTGTGTCAATATAGACATGTTTCAGTATCTCCCTCACAAAAGGGTGACTTTCGATCTGGCAGCACAACAAAGAAGCTATGTATTTACCATGTCTGATGGCTTTGGAACTGCGAGATAACCTAGTAAGTGGTGCTACTAATTGGGAAGTCGCCATGGAGAGGGAAAAGGCTGGTAATCAATATGGCTAGCAAACAGTTCTTTTCCTCTTAACAAAAATATGTCTTGCACAGAGCTACGGTCCTGCCTCTCCGGAAGTTGGAAACTGCAGGTATTTCTACTTGGACATAGAAAATTCATCCTATTGCAGTAGCTTCCATGGCTCTGTTGAAACACAGTAATGTTCTTTGCAGTCTTAGGCCCTTATGCCTGGCCAAAAACCGCAACCCTATGTTGTGCCAAACTTCTTCTGGGAGAGCAACTGTTTCAACAGAAATCTGTGCCAAGGCATGGCAGTGACTATTTCTTGGCACAATGTCAGCTGGAGATAAATCAGGCCACCTTCCTTTATTTTAAACTTCCACAAACTTAATGTGACGACATCTTAGTTTGGCATGTTTTCAAGGGCCACCCTTGTTTTCACAATAGCAGGATCCAGGAGTACGTAGAAGCATCTCTGAAACTCAGCCCTGTCTTGACCATCGGTAAAGCTAAGTCTTGGAAATGAGAAGAGAAATGCCTAAAACACATCATATTTTAATAGTTCAGATTTAAAATGTCTCTTAAGAATTCAATCAGTGAAATCCTCTTTGGCCAAAGTACAGGATGAACATACAGTGGATAAAAATGGGACGAAGGAGGTGGGGGTTGGTATCAGGAGCTACTGACGAGTCTTTTCAGTGCATCCTTGGCTGCTTTTTGTCAGTTACTTCCACTTATTGCTATTCTCTCATTACCACGTCCATTAAATGGGGAGATACGCAACTCTGAGACATTTGAAAACCAGACTGGTGTGGATTGCAGTCGTCACAAATTTCAGGGATCTCTGACTTTTTTATGACTGTGCAGTCCCCTGCTGTGGTTTCCCTTGGTTGCCTGGGGGGTTCAGGAGGCACGGCTTGTCTCTGAAAACCCCCCTGGAGAGCCCCACTGAGAGAGACCTTCTCGAAAGAAGAGAAATGACTCATGGTGATATAAGGGACAGATTCCTCAGGAGCACCTTGGGTAGCTGTTTTTTCTACATGTGTCACAGATAACCGTCGTTTTTCTTTTTCTCTATTTTTTGACATGGAATAAGTATCTCT